CATACTGACTGCACTGAAGGCCTGGGGTTCTCCCTGGTCTCTGCTGTACTCCAGTCTTTCTATGATATAGAAATGTGCTAAAGCCAATCTCATTTGAGTTTCTATCCCTTGAAACCAGAATCAAACAAAACACAGAAACACCCACCAACTCACCCACCAAAACGAGCAAACAAACAAAACCAGAAACAATGCTGACTAATGTGGAGCATGATGGACGGAGTTGCAAGTCTCTGTGAAAAACTCAGATGCTGCATGCAGCCAGCTCTCCTCAGGGAGGCTAGCTGTTCACCATCACACTGCCCAGTCCTCACACAGTGTTTTTACAAAGGACTGGTTGCACACCCATGGGAAATATTTCTCTATTGTGCTTTAATTGAAAAACTGCATGGAAAATATTCAAAACTAAAGGACTAGACTTCCTGTTCTTTAAAATAAATACTTTTGCCACATTTATCTGTTGCATTTGTGTGTGCTTATGGACATGTGTGCATGCCATGGCCGCATGGGAGGTCGGAGGACAACTTGAAGGAGTTCCCTCTTTCTACAATGTGAACTCAGGTCCTCAGGCTTGGAGGCAAGCACCTGTGTGGAGCCATCACACCAGGCAGGACACTGGTTCTTGATTGGAAGAAGACCCAGATGCCCCAAGCACTAGGTGTGGGCATGAGTCCATTTTACTTAAAAAAAAAAATCAAGAAACTTATGACTCTTGCTCTGGAGCACACCACCACCACCCACTTCCCCCTACAATCCCACCCACCCCACACACCTCCTAGTGAAAACTAGCACTGCAAGAATTACTGTGTGGGCATAGCACACCTGTGTCCACATGATTATATAAGTGACCTATCGATTCTGTAATATTCTGAAGCATTTTGGATCTGGGGCTTGTGTGTGTGTGTGTGTGTGTGTATGTGTGTGTGTGTGTAAGTATAAAGACCCTTGGATATATGTATAGAGGCCAGAGGTGGACATGGGATGTCTTTCTCTGTTGCTCCCCCATCATATTTTGAGTCAGAGTCTCTCACTGAGTGGCTAGGCTGTCTCTACCTCCCAGGACTAGGATCACAGGTTTGCACTGCTATGCCTGGCTTTTAACACGAGTCCTGGGGATCTGAACTTCAGTCCTTCTGCTTGCCCAATAAACCCTTGACCCACTGAGCTTAAATTTTGGATTTTTTTTTTTTTTTGAGACAAGTTTTCTCTGTGTAACAGTCCTAGATGTCCTGGAACTTATTGTGTAGACCAGGCTAGCTTTGAACTCACAGAGATCCTCCTGCCTCTGCCTTCAGAGTGCTGGAATTAAAGGTGTGCACCACCACCGCCCGGCGAATTTTGGATTTTAAATTGGAAAATTTTCCAATTTTTCCTACGATGACCGAACTTCATCATCCTTCCTTTTCCCAAAGCATACAATGGCCTCCCAACCTTGTGAGGACTTCTACTTAATCAGTGTCTCAAACTGTAGGAGGACTCTTCGGGTTTTTCTAACTTTGAATATATACGGGGTACCTGCTAAACACCAGCTACAGCAAACGGCACTAAGGACAAAGGAATGAATAAGGAAGTCTCTGCTTTCCATAGCTCTCTATGCATCCCTGGCTGGCCTCGAACTCCCTACATAGACCAGGCTGGCCTCGAACTCACAGAGATCTGCCAGCCTCTGCCTCCCGCGTGCTGGGATTAAAAGTGTGTGCCCACCATAGGCAGCTCAGTCTGTTCTGAGTCCACCAATCTAGACATTGCCTTCAGGCCACAGAGTCTCCGAGGATGGGGAGAGGAAGAATGAGAGCGTGAATGATGGCTGTTTTGCCTGCTGGGACCTTAAGTCACACACCCAATGCCTGTGAGACAAGAGTCACAGTGTCTTCTAAAGCTGTGGCCTTGTCAAGATCCCATAACACCTGTTCTTCATCTAATCCAGGCATGGCCCACATAAGCCATATTGGGGTTCCCCAGCATATGGACACCTCCATAAGTATGGCAAATTGGAGTGGACCGTGTGGCAGGAGCCTCCACTCCAGTAGGTTCAGAGGCTTGATGCTCCTTCTCAGTTCCTGTCCCAGCCAGGCATCAACAGAGCCGTGAACTTTGACTTGGGACGACAGAGAAGCAAAGACATGAGAGCCTGTTTGTGTAGGAGAAACAGAAGTACCAGTGACTTCCAGTTTCTAGGAATGGCCACAGAACAGCGAGGGACCCGAAGCTCTACACTGTCCCCTTCAGGACTCCACTGCAGCTGGGCTTCCAACACAGACTCAAATGGCTGAGGTCTTGACTCCCGCCTAACACGTGAACTTCTCTTTCCACACAAGCCAGAGACCACTTCTGATCACAGAAAGTAAGAAATCTGACTTAGTGCCACACGTGATGTGTTTTTAGGCAAACAGTTAATAAGTGAACTGCCATATTATTTGCATTCCATGACAACTCACTAGTAAATGTAGCCCTGCATATCTTTAACTGTGAATACAGGTGCTGCGCCCAGGTCAAACAACTCCTCCCAGATGTTATGGAGCCAAGGAGCTAACTCTTAAGGCTTACCATCCTTTGTTCATGTCTCAGTCTCAACAAAACGCATTTTTCTCCAACTTCCTCATTCTTCCCCAGACATTAAAATAGATCCACAAAGGGAAATTCACTGTCTGAGTGACTAATACTGCCCCTATTCGGCTTACACATTCCGACCCTGCCATTCCCCTGGCACACCATTAAACTCTTGCCACTGCTTTTCTGTGTGTGTGAGATGAACAGAAGCAGCAGCATGCTGTGGGTTAAATAGCTCCGATGTACTGACAAGGCAAGGGGCTGAGTCTGAGGGAAGTGATTCCTACTCTACCACCAACAGAGGCTGCTGATTTCAACCTGCTGTGGTGTGCTGGCAGTGACAGATGTCTCACCCCTTTTGAAACCTCAGAAACAAAGCAAAGACACACTGAGTCACTGTCAGACCGAATGTTGGTCCTCAGTCTTAGGACACACGTTGGCTAATTTTTTTTTAATTAGCTGGCATCCTAGACTTCATCCCCGCATCTGTAAGATAAGCCCAATATCCCACCTCATTAGGTTGGGGTGCACATTCAACGGGCTAGGTGCATGCGACACTGGGCCCACACAACTGCTCAACCAACAAAACAGAGTCCTGTCTCCAGAACTGTGTACCCGTATAGGATGAAAACTATATTGGAAATGCCTGGATGTAAATCTAAAGAAAGAGTAAGAATAAGACCAGGCAATTTGGTTAGCAAGTCTAAGCACGGGCAGACGCTCACACCCATGTGTGCGTCAGCTTTCTCACCACCCCCGCCCGCCCCGAGGACCAGCAGAGTGTTTTCTACATCAGCAAACATAGAAGATCTGAGCTGAGGCACCTCTGATTACGAGGAGAAACCCAAGGACCAAAACAAAGATATGTCTTGAGGACAGAGGGCCGGTAGTCCTGTCTCAAAAGCAGGCAAACACACTTACAAAATTAACAACTAATGACAGCAGTTTTTCAGTGACTCAAAACAGAAAGAATAAACGGAAAACAAGTACCCAGGACACTGAGGCAAACTGGCTCCCCTTCACTCCTAAGTGAGAAAGCTAGTGGCCAGTACAGCGGCCGGTGAAGCAGTGTGCTGTGTCAACCCATTCTCATGACTGACCTTGCATTTTCCCTAGGTATGCTGCCCACAGAACAATGCTCCAAACCCAGTGGCAGCTTGTTCTGCCGTTAAAACAAGGGCTTTTAGAATGTGTGCAATCCCTGCTCCAGCAACAGCCAGGCAGGCACAAGATGTGCGGCTTCCATTTCCTCGTCTGAAAAGGGGTCGTCTGTCACCTTCATCGTGCCACTGCAGACTGAAACCAACCGTTGTTTGGGGTACAGAGCAGGCGTGACTTCCCTCGAATCCTCACAGCCCGCTGCCCCTTGCCTTGTCAATATAGGAGAGCTGTTTACCCACAGCAACCTGCTGGCCCCGCCCTTTGAACTCCAGAGAATTTTCTCCTAACCCACCATAAATATATATATATTCTATGATACTTTCTTAAAATCCTCAACCAGAACTGAAAGGTAGGAAAAATCTCACTAAAAATAAACAAAGTGATTTTCCCCCCTGGTTTCCAAAATACCTCCCTCATCTACACCATCCTTTCACGCTGGTTCCCCGTCACGTCCACGCTGATGTGGACAATGCTGGTGCAGCTGTATTCATTGGGGATTTGAACCAAGATGCTTTGAGCAGATGTATCTGCCAGGCACCGTATAAGACCTTTTCACTTCCCTCACAACAGCGATGAGAGAAAACTGTCACTGTCCCCATCTTCCAGTTCACAAAACAGAAACACAAGAGTACCTGGGAAACTTGTCTAAAATCTCCCAGCCAGGGAGGGCCCAAGGGACATAGAAGCAGGTCTTCTGGTCCCAGGTCTCCCACTTTGACGCCCCAGGAGCCTTTCATGCCCACAGCCTTCTTGCACTATTTATCCTTCCCACTCTCCTTGCACAACAGAAACCCCTAACTTTCAGCAAGTCATCTGCTCACTCCAAGAGGCCACATCCTTTTTCTCTACCTCTACTGATGAAGAAAGACAATATCATGTTTCTAACACTTCAGTCAAACTGAGGAAAGGGAGGGGAAAAAATCCCCCTGACTTAAGTAATTTCACATCCTTAAAACGAAGGACATACTTTCCTATGTCAAGTTTACCGTGATAAACAAGCGCTGCTTCTAAAGGGTCCCAGTTTCTCTTAGAACGTAGCCCGTGTCCAAAATCTAAAGTTTGATAGTTTCCTTTCTTATATTTTAAGTAGGCACACAAATCTTAGTATATGTACATACATATTTGCATTGTACATATAATGTATGATCTAATATATAACATGTGTCATATATTATAATAATCTATAACCATAAACTTAACAGTAAGCAAATCGGGTTGAGCTCGCACATCTACAGCTCTTTTCCTTGCAGCACGCCCGTACGCAGGTTGACTCTGATTCAAGGCAGGCTGACCTGAAATAGTTGCTGGCTGCAGCAAGCACCACACGATGGCAAGAAAACTCCTGGACGTCCACACACAAGATGACATCTGTCAAAGCATTTTCCTCTCGGAGGCTCTCCAGGCCGTTCTGAAGAATTAGGGAAAGCCTTGTGTCGTCAAATTTTACCTTCTCCCCATTTAATATTTCCACCAAGTCTCCCCTTTTCTGGGAGGTCTTGTCTGTAGTGAGTGCCGAGGGTCCTTCCAAGCTCCTCTCTACCATCTCGTCACTCATGGTGCAGGCGTCTCTTTGTCCTGCCATCAACGTCCAGACTAAAGGAGCTGCCAAGTTTCGAGGAGGTCACACTGCAGAAGCTGAGCGGATTTCCTGCGCGGGGCCCCTCCACTTATCACCAGCTGTCACACATACATAACAGGAAGTCTCACACTTTCTCATCCTGTTACTACAAACGCCAGCAACAACTCCTCCTCTTCTTCTTTCTGTGGATTGTCACAGGGTTAGGAATCACTTCGAGTGGGTGTATGGGACAGGAGAGAAAGGGTGGCCTCTCAGAATCTCCTGGGAGTACAATTTGGTCATCTCCTACCTCGCACTCATAGGCAGCAAGCCTCTGGTTTGGGGCTTTACCTGTTTCCTGGTGCTCCCATAACCCACGACGTCAGTGAGAGAACGGGCAGGTGGTAGTCTCCGTCTCCCACTGTCTGAGACCCCTTTGAAGCCGAACAATCCCCCTTCAGTTAGCACTACACATCTTCTGTCAATCGTTATGACAGTCATCAATACCTCCCACACAGAACAAGCACCTCCTGACTCAAACATGCCTCTATGAGAGAAAGAAGAGCAATAGTGTCCCATCCCCAGAGCCTCATCTCTTACCTTAGGGTAGGTCAATACCCAAGTGCCCTAGCAAGTCTCAGTGTGGTCTGCTTTTACCCAGCATTGACCAACCATGTATTTAATAGCAGATCAAGAACGGTCTTCATTATCTTGGCAGGTCTATATTGCTTAGTAATACTGTAAGCCTCCAATAAACTATTTGGTGTTTTTTTGTTTGTTGGTAAGTTCCTTGGTCACGATGTCATCACAGCAATAGGAAAGTAACTAAGACATAAATAAGCCTTGTAAGACTTTTCCCCATTCACACTGACATGTCAACTGGTGGCATCACTTTGCTGGTTTTGTTTAGGCAACCATATTGTTAAGATTTCATGGGAGCAGCTTCCCTATCATATTAGAAGACATAATCTCTCAGCAGATATCCTGCTCCTCTGGCTCTTATAATGGTCCACATCTGCTACCGCAAAAAAAAGCTTTTTTGATGGAGGGTGAGAGTTACAATTACCTGTGGGTATAAGGCTAACTATTTTTAAATTTAGGAAAGTGATAGTAATAAGTTCTCCTAGGGGCTATGATGTCACCAACAATGAATAGTTGGTTGCGTTTATAGTCTCAGGCATGAATTCCCTCCTATTGATCAGGTCTCAAGTCCAATCAGATGACCATTGGTTACTCCTAAGACATAGGTACCATTTTTGCACCTTTGAAGACATCTTGCCATGCTGGTCACTGTTGTGGTGGAGGCTTTACAGCTGGGTAAGTCTGGTTGCTTTTCTCCATTGGCAGAGTGCATAGCACCTTTGAGTGCTATGCAAGTCTTCAAGGAGAAGGCTTCCAGGTTAATTCTAGCTCTATTCCTCCAAGTCCTATGTCTGAAGTCTATTTTGTGTTTAGTGATACAATCTTACCTTCAAGTTCTGGGGGGCAACCAAGAACAATGGCAACAGCCTATACCACTTGGGGAGTGTCTCTGACCATCTGTGATTGCTGGCTTTTAAATTTTTTTAAGATGTGTTTATTTTTATTTTACGTGAATGGGTGTTTTGGCCTGCATGTATGTCTGGGCACCATATTTATGCAGTGCCCAGGGAAGCATCAGATCCCCTGGAACAAGAGTTACAGGCAACTGTAAGCCTCCGTGTGGGTGCTGGGGAATGAACCCAGGTCCTCTGCAAGAACAGTAAGTGCTCTTTACCACTGAACCATCTCTCTAGCCCTGATGGCTTTTTAATGTAAGATCTCATTCTATACCTAAGCTGGCCTGGAGCTTACTATATAGCCTAGGCTGGCCTTGAATTATTGCTTCCCCTGCCTCTGCCTTCCAAGTGACAGGATTGTAGAAATGAGTCACCATAAGTTGGATGGAATCCACATTTTATGGAGGGGCTCAATGGTATTATAAGGACACATTTTTCTCCCCATCTTACCTTCAGTGATGTCACAGGCAGCTTCAGCAGCTTGAACATCATACCTTCCCATGTCGCTAGTTCCAAATCCAAGGAAAGACTCAGGAAAATTTTGCTTTTTCCATCTCTCTTTTTACTGTAAAGAAAATATTTCCTAATATCTTTAGCGGAATTCTCCTGGCTATGTGACCATCCCAGACCAACCAGGAGAAAACATAAAAATATGAATGAATTGCCAAAACTGGCTTAGACAAACCTTGATTCTTTCTTGCCAGCAAGCAATCTTTCCCAAGATCAAGAAAGATCTATCTGCTATCTGAACAAAACCAAATCCTAGTAACACACAGAAAGTAAGAGAGCTGTTCCCTTAAACTTCCATACTTGCCAAAGGGCGCCCACCATTCTCACGCTCCCTGAAGGAACTGCTGAGACACTGGGCTTCTGCCTACTGGGGCGCATGAATTACCTTTGCATCACTCTGATGATAATACAACAAGACAACTGTTGTGGAATAGTTAACTGTGTAAAGATGTGCTACATTTATTCATGCTGTGGAATATTACTTTAACTGTGGGATGTTTAAAGTTGTGTTAATTTGTTTCTATGCCTTTGTTAATGATGTAAAGATGTGTTACATTTGGCTATACTCCATTTGTTTAACTATGTAAAGATGTGTTGCGCTTGTTTCACCTTGCCTGCCTAAGGCTCCTGATTGGTCTAATAAAAAGCTGAATGGCCAATGGCTAGCCAGGAGAGGGACAGTCAGGGCTGTCAGGCAGAGAGAACAAGTAGGAGGCGAGAAAGAAGGAGAAAGAGAGGGACACGCTCAGGGCCAGAAGCCAGGAAGCCACCAGCGAGACATGGAGGCAGCAGGAAAGTAAGACATACATAAGGAAAGAAAGGTAAAAATCCCTGAGGCAAAATGTTGATAAAGAGAAACACATTAAAGTAAGAGCTAAACGAAGGCTAAGCATTCAAAACTAATAATAAGTCTCTGTGTCATGATCTGGGAGCTGGTTGGTGGCCCAAAGGAAGCCTGGTACAAACAACTTCAGGACAAAAAGATACTGTGACATGTAGTTACAAAGGTTTCAGTCTGTCATAGCAGAGAAGGCATCGTGGATTCTGTGGTGGTGGAAGCCCCTGGCAAGAGACCAGGAGGCAGTGAATGAAGACAGAACTGGGGCTGAGCTATAGTTCAAAGGCTTCCCATAAGACCTCCTTCTGCCAGCTGGGTCCCAGCTCCTAAAGGTCCCACCGCCTCCCACAGTAGTGCCACCACTAGGGAAAAGTACTGACGGCATGAGCCCATGGAAGATGCTGATTTTACCTTTGCCATTTCTTAATGCGAGGTGCATGTAGTCCAACTTTAAGAGTCCTCCACAGGCCTAGAAGTCCAAGTCTTCCGAGGCTCAAGACAATCTCTTAGCTGTGAGCCCCTGTAAAATGGCAAAGAAAAGTTACCTACTTCCAAAATAAAATGGCCCAGAGCAAACATTTTCATCTCAAAGGGGAGGAGCAAGGAAGCAAAGAAAAGCAAGGCCAAAGCCAGCGGATCCAGTATGGCGCCTCTGCCCTCTCTCTTGGGCTGGTCGTAGTGTTTGCCTGAAGGTCTCCCCCAAAAATGCCCCATATTCCTGGTATTTCAAACATCCTGCTGTCTACATTGCAGCTCTGGCTTGGCACTCACCATTTCAGGAATCAGCCTTTCTTCTGCTCCCTGCAGGAACTCTGCTGCATGGTCCCTGGCAACAGGCTTTCCTTAAAATTCTGGGTACAAACAAGCCTCCATGACACTGACTCATGCACTCTACGTAACTGCAAAACCAGCTCGCCATGAATGGCAGCAAGTTCCGCTGCCAGCTCAAGCAGTGCTCAGGCCCCGGTGAGCTGCAGCGCCTTCTGCGTCCCTGTGAAGCTGAGCCTGGAAGGTACTCGACCAAGTGGTCCTGCTTCAGCAAGAAATGTGCTCTCTCTTCTTAGAGGCAAGTCTGTGGAGTGGTTTTAGTGTTTCAACCTCCGAGCCTTGCCAAATCCAAAAAGGCCCTCGAGGCACATCTGTTGTCCCAAGGCAAGTAGTCTGGCGTCTGTATTAGTTTGCTTTTTGTAGGCTGTGATAAGTACTTTTTAACAAAAAGCAACTTAGGAAAAGGGTTTATTTGGCTCACACATCCAGATCACAGTCCATCACTAAGGTAAGGCAGGGCAGGAACTCAAGGCAAGAACCTTGTGGCAGGAACTGAAGCAGAGGCCATGGAGGAGTGCTGCTCACTGGCCTGCTCTCTATGTCTTGCCCAGCCTGCTTTCTTACACAGCCCAGGACCACCTGCTGAGGAGCGTTACCACCCACAATGGGATGGACACTCCCACATCAATTATTAACCAAGAAAATGTCCCATAGACATGCCCACAGGCCAGTCTGCTGAAGCATTTCCTCAGATGAGGTTCCTTCTTCCCAGGTGACCCTTGTGTCAAGTTGACAAAAATTAACTAGCACAGCTTTTTTAAATTACACGAACACCTTTAACGTGTGGGGCTTCTCTGCCTCAGCGCTTTAAACACTCTGTCAAAATTGTACACGGTTGGTGTCTCTTTCTGTTCCTCCCTTTGCTCCCAATTCTCACTGTAAAACTGGCTCAAGAGAGCCGGCAGACATCACACGGGCAGTCCAAATACTAAGCTGTCTTACAGTTTCCTTCACCAAATTAATCAGTTCATTACTTTGGATTTCAGACTTACTCAGATCTTCAGGACATAGGCAAAATGTAGACAAATTCTGTCTCAGAGAGTGACATGAAGACAGTCTGCTCCAATTTCCATAGAATTCTTATTTTAATCTGAAACCTCATGAGTATGATTTTTACTGTCCATATTTCTGTCAGCATTCTCGTCTTCCAAGTTCCTACCAGAATCACCCTGTAAACTTTCTTCCCGCATTTTAGGGCTTCTCTAACACATCTCCAGGCTTTTCCACCTTCCTTCTGCAAACCAGTTCCAAGGGCCTAAGAAACACATGCTCAGATTTAGTCAAAGCAATGACCTTACTCCTGGTATCAGTTTTCTGTTTTAGCCATATCTGCATCATTCTGATGACAATATCTG